AAGCACTTGTCAAAGTAACAGCTATTTTTGTTTGCCCTATTTAGCACCGTGTTTAAAGTCTACATTGGAAATCTCAGACGATTTTAAATACATGGTGCAGTTACTTTATCACTGCATCACTATATTCAAAGTCCCCGGAGCCTGGAAAATAAAAGTGCTTTAACAGAACCTTTTGGTAGTTTCTGGCTGCACATAAAGGTCATCGCTTTCGCAAGACCTGCTTGAGTGCCAGGAAGCACAGACAAGCTTAGGGCTGTTGAGCCCTTCTTCAGGCTATAAGGACTGCTGGGCAGAAAAGATTCAATACCCTGGTTTTTCCCATCTCTGAGTCTTCCAGAGGGTTCTCCAGTGGAAAAGAAAGAACAAACCCACCAACGCAAGACTTGGCAGTCCTGCTGTTCCTCAGGTAAGAAACAGAGAACAATCTCAAAGCTTCTTTGTTCATAATTAAGAAAAGACAAGAAATCCCTTCCCCTTCCTTCATGAGCCCTGTCCAATGCGATGGTTTCCATGCTCCTCAGGCACTGGGCTGCCTGGTTTGCCCAATGCTGGGAGCAGGGAGCATGGGTACAACTTCAGCACATGATGAGAGGTTTCTTACCCAAGGTGCTGTGAAGTGGCAACTTCAAGGCCTCTCCTGGCCATATGGCAAAGCAGGGATGAGCACAACCTGAAATCCATGGAGACTCACTCCTCAGGAAGGAAAAGGGAGACTAGATGCCCAGTGATATGAGAGTGACAGTAATTGAGGAGTGCTTCCTTCAGGAAATAAAACCACCAGCCAAGCACAAAAGGACTGCACAGTAACACAAGAGCTATTCCATACTGGTTTATTTAGGCTATTCCTTTTTCCTTTCCCCTCTGTCTCCAGACTATGTACTTCCTATTGCCTGTCTATTCCCAGGACGTTTGTGGTGTGTTTCCAGAGAGCTTCTGGAGCTCTGCTAGGACAGCCTCACACAGTTCCCTTCAAAAAGCTCTGGGGAGGAAGAAAAGGGTTCAGGAGGATCCTTACTACCTTTATGCAGATAACAACAGGAGTAACAGCATTTAGGAGCCCTGTGTTTTGAGCAACACCCTTGCCTTCCCTCCCTCTCATTGCTACCAGCAGATGCCAGAGAGACAGCCAAAGCAAACATAACACTTGGGAAACGGTCTGTATATCCAAAACAAAAGAGGTTTTCTTTCATCAGCTGTTTCCTGTTGTCAAAGAATAAGTTATTGCTTTAACCTTGAACGTTTTAGTGCACTGTGCATAGAAACATGGTAAATTTTTAAACTTTTTGAGCAGAAATGAGTTTTAATATATATATTAAAATAATCCTGGTATTAAAATTGTATCATCTATGTGTATTTGTCCCCATTGCATTCCCTCTTTCCTCTGGTGCAGGGGGTAAAAAAAGGGTAAGTCAGTAGCTTAGCAGGTTGGGCTGCTTATTAAATGATTGCAGTTTAATGGCACGTGCCTTACCCCACCAACCCTGTTCTGCTGCGCTGCTGGAAGTCTAAGGGAGGCTGGTGTGGATGCAGGGCGACCCCACGTTCCTGGAAATCCCTGGCTGCTTTGCTGTGGCTCCCTATCTCCTGACTCCTGAATGAGCTCCTGCAGCACTGGTCACCCACCGCTCCATAGGGTGAGCTAAGAAGCCAGAAATAGCCTCTTTTCTGATAATACAAGGCTCTGCTTATAAAGGCAGCATTCCGGCATCCCAGATAAGAGGTACACAGCTTCCTCTAGTTGCATTCTCAGCTTCCTGAGGCTTTCTGTGTCAGGCAGAAGGGCTCATGTAATGCTTTTCATTATATGCGGGTGCTGCTGAAAACACCATTCCAGGAGATGCTCTTGGTGGGGTCTGATGGGTCTGATGAAATCACGATTACAGTGGATGGGGAATGAATCTACCAAGCGAAAGAGCTGCACAGTTGCCAGGGCAAAGGAAATTGAAATGCAGGCTCTGCTGTCCTTTGTTTCCAGCTTGGAAACACTTGTCTTCACCAGGGGACTGCTTACCCAGGTCCTGCTGTGGGTACAGGGCGATGGGATGCACCTTCTGCTGTCCACCTGCAGGGGCAGGATTTGGGTGAGAAAGGGGGTGGGCTATGAGAAACCATGGGCTTGCTGGGCTGATCATCCCTGACCTAGGGAGGCAGACGTGATCTCTGAGATGTGTCAATCGTGCTGACAAGTATTAAGATATACTCAGCTGAATTGCTGGCTGTAAATCCATCATGAACAGGCCCTGGCTTTTGGAGCACTTGCAGGGAGTTATTTTGTGCTCCTCTTTGACACCTGTGTTTGTATTTACATGAAATTGTAGTTCTTGTGCATGGATACCCCATGTAACATCACCAGTTGGACAGGGGTGCTTCTCTGAGTCCTGACTGGCTCATTTCTGTGTGGTAACAAGAGCATGTAATAGGTATATTCCAGAGCAGGGAAAACAATGACCAGGGTTAGACAAAGCCTTCCTTCAGTAACCAGGTCAGTCTGCATCTTGGGATTATGTACTCTGCCTCCAGAGATGGTGCTAATTAGGAAACACTTGGGAAAGTGGAATTTCCTGCTACTCTGGCAGCTTCTCCTCCTGCTACAAGAGCCTCTGCGCTTCTCCTGCCGCTCTGAAAGTGTCCCTTCCATTGTAGCTTTATGGGGGAAAAAACCCTAGAGGATGTGCCATAGAGCTCTCTGGGGATACCTGCCACAGTTGTGTGAAGCACATGTCACTGGTGCTGCTTTGTCACTCATCTCTGCTAGGACAGAAACTGCCATGGGATCACCAGACAGTCAAAGCGCTGCAGAATATTCTGGACCAGATGAAGGTGTTTTAATGTATGCTGATGCTTAGTTTGTAACCATGGGATTTAGCACATGTTGAATGCCTATTATTAAATTCAAGTGTAAATAAGGCATAGATATGAGCTGATAAGCACATTCTAGGAGAAAATATTACTAGAAACGCTGGTTGCTTTAAGATTTGAAAATCATGTAGCCTAGCAAGCATGAATTAGGACATAGTCAACCTGCCTAAAGTATTAGCAGCAGACATATCTTGAACAGACGTTTACTTTTGGAGTATTTACAAGGTGGAAAGCTGTTTTTGTGGAGCAATATACCCTTGGTCATGAAAACAATGAGCCCCAATCTGATTCTTTAGGATGTGTTATACTCTGATTTCCATCAGAGTAGCCCAAGAAGACCCAGGGTAAGCAGCAAGCTTGTCTGAAATCCAGCTGTTCCATTTTAACTCACAAGTATGTTATTGCAGGTCTCCCTTGTTAGAGGTGAGGAGCTTACCACACAGCTGAGCCATCTGCCAGGGCTCCCATTAGCTCTATGAGATGCTTTCCTTCTTCAAATGGTGGCCCATCCAAGGGTTTTTGTTTGCAGTCTCAGCAGGGGTGGGTTCCTCAAGCCTACCAGCAGCTGTGCTTGAGGTGGAAGGGCCTGTTTATTGCTGCTTTGCTGGTTACTGAAGTGCTGATTTTCACAGTGCAATGACACTAGTTCATGAGGTAGGCACTTACCAGCGTGATGGGCACCAGTACTGTGTTTATGGGGGTTGTAATCATGATGTGTGTGGCTCTGCTGTCATTAAATAAGCAGGCCTAGAGACATTAAGCAGCATTTTGCTTCTTCTGAGTTTGTTCCACACATTTTTGGCTCAGAAAGGCTCCTATTTCCTTCTATTTGCATCAACCTATGAGCACTAATAGGAGATAAAAGTCTAAATGGTCTGTTGGGTCTGCAGTACTTGTCAGATGTGTATCTTGGATACTTTTGCTTTTGCTTTTCATTGATTTTAATCTCTTTTCCGTATGATTTCTTTGGAAAAGGGATCCTCTCAAATCCTGTGTGCGCTGTGCTCAGGAGGGAAGGGATTTGCAGATGGTGCCTCCAATGGAAGCAGGCAGGAAGGACTTGGCAATTCTTCACTACCTCCTTGCAATGGTGTTGACCTGACCAGGAAAATGAACAGGAGTCCCCACGTCCTCACCACCATGTTTTCAACCAAAAGGTGAGTCTGCTGACTCCTCTGACAGACACAGGCCTACCCAGCCTGCAAGCTTGTAATCCCAGTTCTTGCAATAGGTGCAGCCCGATGTATATGCAGGGATGCTCTTTGTGTATCAGTGACCAAGGAGAAAAGGTGGTTTTACTGGATCAGCCAAAGAAGAAAAGTTTTTCTCCTCCTTCCCTAACACAGCTATGGCACTCTTTTCTCTTGTGCCTGAAATTCCCATGTCTTATCAAAAGTGAAAAGGGAGCCCCTTGTAAAACATGTATGAACTTTGCAAATGTTATCTTCAGCATTTTATTCCAGCATGCATGTCATCAAATGCGTGGGCCCTTATAAAACACCCGAGGGAGCAGAAGGCCAAAGGTGGAGCTGAGTCTTGGCTTGAGATACTAGACACTTATTGGTTGTATTTCTCCCTTCACAGCACAGAGGTGAAATGCTAAGCCAAAAAAATCTTATTTCTTTCATAAGGTAATGTCTAGACTCCATTCTTTCTGTCCTGAATCTGATAATATAACATCAGCATCTTGTTCTTGGCATTTAAGTCCTCTGCTGAAACAACGCATTTATAGCTCCGTACCCACTTAAAAACCAGTGGGCCAAACAAGTTATTGAATAAGCCCAAGTGCTGTGGTTTTACCTGGGGATCCTTTCAGTTAAATGAGACTGCACCAGGATTTGTGGTTCCCCCAGGGAGCAAGACACGAGGGAAATGCTTGTGCAGATGGGGAGGGAGAGCTGGGAGTCTTGTGAAGATGGAAAACACAAGCTAGAATCATTCTCCTTCCCTCTTGAGCCACGTTTTCATTTCAAACGCAGCACTGCCCTTTCTCAACTGGGTGTTTAGAGTCTGGTTTGAAACAATTATGATCATTCACATGAAGCACTTCATACTTAAGACTGTGTGGCAATAGTGATTGAGAATTTGTGTCTCCCAGGCATGGGGTAAATGAGCGTAAATAAACCATAGCACCACTGCTGTTCAAAGATGTGGCCTTTCATGTATTGTCACAAGGGTAGAGTGCCACATTATTTTTTAGTGTCTTCATCTTGTGAGGTTACCACATGTAAAACTCAGGAAAGCTTTGGTTGCAGGGCCAGGATCAGCCCTAACACTGGTGGATCAGCTGCCAGAAGTACTTCTGCTTAGCCCAAGTGTATACGCTACTGGTGGCATGGAAAGCACTGGTCTCTAGACCCCATTCTGAGCAAGGTCAGCCTGGCAAATAGACAGATTCTCCTTGCGTGTTAAATACTAATGAAAAAGAAGGGGAAATAAATATTTCAGCCCATCTCAGGTGTAATATGCAAAAAGTCATAGACTAGGCCAAACCCTGAGGTCTCAATTCCTGTGACAGCCAGGAGGAAGTAAGGCAGGGACTGTGGCTCTCCCAGAATATGTTTCCCTTAGGTTTCCTTCCCTTCTGCAGGTGGGATCCTTTCAGCCTAATCCACCTCTGCAAAAGGTGACTGTTGAAAGCATAGGGGAAAAGAAAAAGGTGATGTGTTATTTCTGGGGCCAAAAATAGGGATTTTGTAACAGCTCCCCAGAATTCTCCAGGAGCCAAATAAATATTCCACTGACAAACCTTCTCTTTCCCTGCACTGTGTGCACTGACCAGCCAAAATCTGATGGCTGTTAAACACAGACATTCACAAAATGGAGAGATCAGCTCACCTAGTGCTTTCAATGAGCCACCTTGATCTCTTGATGATCCTGTTAGATATTGCTTCTTTCAGCATGAAGAAGACAGGGCTGGAGGGGTGAGGTGATGGGTGATTTTTGCCAGAGGATGGATTGCTTGTCGCTCAGTCCCATGCTGAGGGTTTTTATTTTTAGTCTGGATGTTGGCTATTGGCAATCATGACTGTAGTCTCTCAGAGCACTGCTTCGGGTGACATTCATCTGGAGAATGTTGAAACATAGGGGAAATAATTATAAGCAGCAGCTGCAAGACATTTTTCACCCCAAAGGACACAGAAAAAAAGCCAGCACAACTTTGAACCATGAGAGTTCAGCTGAGGATAGGAGCCAACCCTTTCATCAAGCTAGCACAAATCCCACAAGCTGACAGATCTGTGCAGAGCAGTGATTTTTGAGCAGAGTTAGTCCTGATCTGCTATCTCAACAGTGGATTTGGGCTGGGATCATCCCTGCTCCTGACAACAGGCTAAAGTGTGCCTCCTCCCCTGCTGAACTGGAGCAGCACCATGGCCTCTCAAAGCCATGGGGGGTCTCCTAGTCTCATAGCCTGAACTCGGCACAGGTCAGAGCTGCTGCATCCTCCCAGGGAGCAGGAGCAGAGAAGCTGCAGTTGTGGCTGGAATTTTCTTTACTCTGTTTCCATCCATGTGGGTGCTGATGGTAGGGAAGGATTCTGGCTTGAGCTCCTCAGGAGTCTTCTCACATCAGGAGTGTTCCTTCTTTACAAATGGAATGTTATTCCTCTGCTGGTGCGGAGTCATGGGTATCCCACTGTGATCCCAAATGAGCAGGGCAAGCTCTGTGCTGGGACTGAGAGGTGCCACCCAAATGTCCACTTAAACCAGGTTTGGAACTTTGCACTGGAGAATAATTTAGGTCAGAAATGACCTTCTTATCCAGTCCCCTGCTCAAAGCAGGGCTAACTTCAAAGTGAGAGCAGGTCTGAATGGCTGGTGTCAGGACACAAGGGCTGTTGTATGCCTGTCTGCAACCCATGGGGGACAAGGGCATCCAGAGGCAGGCTATTGAATGACAGGAATAGGATGTGTTTGGATTCACCCTGGAAAAATACTTGTTAATTTGGATACCACAGAGACTGGAAAAAGAATTTGCTGTGGTCTTTCCTGCCCTTGTGTTATCATGGTTTTCTTTGCCTGGCTAGTGTTCAAATCATACCACTAAAGCTTTCCTGTTGCTACTCAGATTAAAGCTCAGTAACAAAGGACCAAGCTACCCGATGAACCCACCATGCCTCCCTGTTCTGCTGGGGCTGTTGAGACCTGCAGAGCAGGATCCAGGACCACGCACTCAGTGAAAAGGAAACTTGATGGAGTCTGAGAAGGCTGCAGCTCTCTCAGCATATGTAGAGTTTACAAATGAAGTGAGTGTTAAAAGATGCATTAGCTTAGAGGCTTTTCTAGGTTCTTCCAGTTTAAGGATATGTATAGCTAGCTAGTTAGTCAGCTATCCAGCCAGCCATCCTAGGCTGTTATTTTTCAAAGACCCAGACATATGTATTTATATACATACATACATACATGTCAGCATTTTTGTAACCTAGCATTTATAGGATGCAAGACACTTCCCAGAGCTAAATTTGACATAGTAAACCATTCAGACATTCAGAAACATTCATTAGATTAGAATATGCATGAAGGCTTTTGCCGTTTCTGCTGTTGAAAGCGAAGTTGAGTCCATATTAGTCTGGTTGTGCTATTTTGCACTCACCTGTAGGCATCTGTGCTGCACACACTTTGCTCTGAATCACTGTAGGATTATTTCCCACTTGTAATCAACTGCAGAGGAACTTGGAGTGCTGGGGTGAGTGGGGGGAACGGCAGGCGAAGGCACTGAAGCTTTACTGGCACTTAGGCAATCTCATCCCAGCTTGAGCTAAAGCAGAGCCGTGCAAGCAAGCACAGGTTCAAAGTGCAAATAAATACGTGCTTGAGGGCTCCCTGTGGGGATAGAAGGTGAGCAAAAACAAAGGTAGAGACATGGTAAACATACCCAGCCTGTCTGGAAGGAAGAACAGGTTTGCATAGGATGGGATGCTGGGAGAACGTATCACCATTCTGCTTTCTGAACTCTGGCAGGTCATCTGAGTTTCCATCCTTCTCGAAGACAAAGAGCATATACCTGATTGAGAAGGGATAGAGGTTTATATAGTTAATATCTGTTAAGTGTGTTGACTTATACATAGCCTAATTCCGTCATCTCTGAGGCTTTCACTAAGGTGGGGGGCAAAGACTGTGTTGATGTCAGTGAACAAGGAACTACCACTTCCACAGCAAATCTAGAGTCTTCCTCTGAATCTTATGTGTTGTCTGTATGTGTATATACACACACACGCTGTAATGCATGTATATCTGGTCTCCTAACAGCAGACACATGGCATCAAAAGGACAGTGAACAAACTGGGAATGGGAATGCTGTGCTGCGGGTAAACTAAGGCTTCCATGGGGTGAAGATGGATATTTTCAGTTTTCCGAGGTGTAGGTCCGTTCAAAAAAGCACTTATTTGAGGTGAACCGGTTTTTCTATAGAGACAAATGGGTCTTGTTATGTGATTCCTTTTCAGATGGAGGCTCCAGTGTGAGGGCATTTTGGGGACCCCAGGTCTTTTGAGGTGGCGGAGAGACACAGTTCCTGATCAGACCAGCAAGGGCTCCCTGTTGCATTCAAATGTCGACTGTGAAAAGCAACGTGAGTGAAGTTTTGCTTTGCTTGACTGAGCTTTACCATAGCAGTTATTGTTTTGAAAAGGGAAGCAATACCTACTGTATCTCCTGGGAAAGTGAGGAGCAGCTCGCTTCGGAAGAGACAGCTATTATAGTGAAGTTCTCAGCTTAGTTTTCTATTTTTGGCTTTATGTATTCACATCTGCTTGAATTTCCCCTGCAATAACAGCTTTGTGATTAAATGGCAAGAAGAAATGGTTCCAGAGCATCTGGGGATAGGCAGAAATGTAATTATTCATGTATTGATACATAGTGAGGTAGGTATTGATTTATATAGGATATTAAATGCTCTGGAGCAGGGGAATGAAATATGATTAGTATTTTAAAAGAAGAAATATTACCACCTTGTTTTAAGCACCTGAGGGAAGAATAGCACTTCGCTAGTGTTAGACCATTTGAACACTTTGAATTATTTAGGGATCTTCAGTATAGGCTGATACGAGTGTAAAAGCTTGCCTATGACAAGTCAAATGTGTTAAACCTGCTGCATGTTCTTCCTTACAGTCCTTTATTGTTAGTCACCTATGGTACTTGCTTAAAGGAAATACAGCCAAGCAGAGAGTTCAATTAAGAAATCTATCTGTCTACCTAGCTATATATCTGTTTGTCTCTCTCTCTCTCCCCTACTCCATGGGTGACATTACAATTGCTAGATATTACATTTTTATAATCTTTATCTCAAGCTAGGCTCTCGTAATCATCCTATTTCAGGCAGAATATATCATTATGCCTGCTACAGTGGAGCACTAGCTTTATGAAAGGAAGGACAAGAAAATTCAGTTAATCCGTGAGCGAGTTCCTGTGGAGCAGAAGCAATGGAGCCCAGGGAGGGACTCATCCGTGTAGGTTTCTGATGCCTAATAACAGCCAAGCTCTTGTAGTCGGTCGTTTGGCGGAGAAGCGAGGAGGGTCTCTCTTCTCTACTTAGTCCTTTATTTTCCACAAAACCCATAGGGATGAGGTATTTCTGAAACTTCACCCTTCTGTCAATGTGCTTGAAAACAAAAGGCTTCAACAGTTACCAGGGGAGACTAACGGACAGGCGCTCAGGCAGGCTGCATGAGCCTAATTCCAATAGAAAAGAAGCCTAAAAAGGAACCGGTTATCCTGGAACTATGTTTGCAAGAGCGACCAGAGCATACCCTAGAGAGAAGGAAGAGGAGTGCTGCTATAGCATGCACTTACACCATCCCATCACATCCCATCCCATTCCCAAAACACACCAGCACGCTTCCTAGAGTGCAGGAAGGTGCACATGGCCTCTGGCCACCCCACGGACACCCTGTGACGCACAGGAGAGGCAGGAGGCAGAGCCATGGATCTCCAGCACGTTATTCATTGCACCATCTTCCCTGCTTCCTGGCCTCAGCAACCCCTTCCTCATCCTCTTCCAGCTGTTTCTTTCCAGATCATTCACTTCCCAAATTACTGGTAATTCCTTCTGGAAGGGTTTTTCCCCCTTTCCTTTCTCTTTTTATGGTTTCCCTATCTTTTCCGGATCTTCCACAGAGCTTGCTTTGTTGGCAACCTTTTGCAGTGTTTCATCTGTTTTGTTATGGCAAAACAAAATGCTTCTCATATTTGTGTCCTCTGATGATGGGTATGTTTTAAATACATCATTGACATGTTTGGGGGTGTAATGGGAACTATTTCCCTCCACATGGCATATTAGCATTGACAGATAGGGGATGCAACTGTCTTCCAACACGAGTGTGCCAGAGCTTCTCTCCTGCACAGCATTAATATTCAGTAAGGCCTCTCTTCATCCCTTTTAGGTTTCCCAGGTTGGAATAAGAATATCTGCATAGCTTAAATAATTATTTTAAGGCTAGATCTGTGCCTCGATTCCCACTGGTTTTGTCAGATTAATGCTAACATATCTTAGGATAAACACTGCTGCCCAGGTTGAAGACTGCTCTCCTTTCATTTAGGGTAAGGTACTGCCCAACCTACCCAACCCTCAGACTTACAGCCCAAGTTATCTTGTGCCAGCCCTGTTGTGGTAACCGACTTGGAATGTTGTAAATGCCAGACAAAAAACATCTGCTTAAACCTCTTCCATTAACACGCTTTGAGAGCAGCAGCCATGCCTCTGTGCCTTCAAGGAACTGAAGTAGGAAAGTCCCAACCATAAGTCAAGTCCCAGTCAGCCTAAGCTAATCATCAGGAGATAAATAGGAAGCATACACCCTTTTGCACCATTTTAAATACATCTGCTTAAAACCACACCCTTGGGGACTATCTATGTGAGAAATCTACTTTGCAGCCCATGTGTGAAATGATGGGGTAGTTTTGGCTGAGATAAGTAGGGTCCAGAAGAAAAGCCCCACAGCACTTTAGGGCACCTCCCATAGGTTTAAGGTGGGACAAAGTGTCTACTGGAGGTATCTCTCCCTGTCCAAGGAGCTTAGGTGATTTATTCAAGTCTCTATTTCTTTGTCTAAAGATTGTACCACACAA